GTGCAACGCATCAGCTCCAGCCCTTTTTCCGAGGCGAGCGAGTAGAGGCGCAGGTCAAGATAGTCTTAGGTCGGGCATGTACCTCCACAGGCGGATTTTGGACGAAAAATAACAAGTAGCCAAGAAATACTCCAAACATGCTCAAGATAGCCAAAAAATCGTCCCCTGACTAGTGTTGAATGGTTTTTGGATATTCCTCCTGTAGAGGGACAGGCCCGACTTCAGGCTAACGCCAAGTTCGTGGACCGCCGTCCCCACGCCCGCCGAAGGCGCAGATTTTAGGAGGCCTGGCGAGGACCTCGAAGGGGGCCCTCAGTGGAGGCTTCATGTCTGGCGGGGGGGGGGCCAGCGGTGGCACAGATACTCGGGATCCAACCCTGATGAGACTTGCCTGGGCGTGGGTAGCCTTGCAAAGTCTGAAGGGGGACGGCAGTTTCCGCCTCCGGGATCCTGGCACGCACGCAGTAGAGTTCGGCAACCTCCCAGGGTGGCGGCAGTCGGTCAACAGAGGGCAAGCCCTCAGCTTTCTGCAGTTCTCTCTCTTTAAAGCAGTCGTCCCGATCGGCAGGCCCTGTTTTGTCACTGACTCGTCTGATGCCACCAAGAATGTTTCGAAGATTCAGCAAGGCCTCCACCCTGAGTCGCATCTAGACCTCTGGCAGGTAAGTAAGGATCTTTTGGCAGTACCCAGGGGCGCGTGTTGTGCTCGTCAAAAGAGCCACCGAGACAGCATCAGCGCCAGTAGCGGTGGCCCAGATCAGTTGCAGTTCCTGGCCAATGAAGTTTCGGATTCGGTGGCCAACTATTGGGCTGAGCACTTGCGTGTAGATGAGTGGGACAGAGATTCCAGGTCCCATGCCCAATCCATCGCGTCTCAGGTCCGAAGGAAAAGACACCCACTGCTTGCTTGCATAGAAGCAGAAGGCAACCGCGTCCCTAAGAATAAGGAGCTAGCAGAACGAACTCGGGTGGTGAGAGGAAAGCTACTCGTGACCCACCACACTCCAGAAGAGCGGCTCAACTCGCGCGCTTCCTGCAGTGTGTGTATGTGTGTGTGGTGGTTCGGCACCGCTCAGATGTGCCGACGAAAGTTTAAAAAAAACGCCGTGCCACGAGGGCCTGTTCAATGGAGTCGCGATGATTCCGCAGCCCCAGACCATCAATGGTCATGCTTTGCATACAGGCCACATTCATTGGATTCAGTCGGGGATGGGATCGCACTGCCTGTGTTGAGTCGTGGCTGCGTGGCCACCCAAGCTTTGCGCGACCCTGGAAAAGCAGTGTTCGAATTCGGTTGGCCAGCGCGGCAAGCATCTGCTCGCCAGGCTCGCCAGAGGCGAACCTCCGAGCAGGAGCAAGCTGGCCAAGAGCCAACTGGAGGCACAGAAGGTGCTCCAGGAAGCCACTGGCGGGAGCGAGCAAAGCAGAACAAAACGCATAATCCTGAAACTTGAAAGTTGACACGCTTCCAAAGATGTCAGGGATTACTGAAGATCCTTGAGGGTGAGCAGGAACCTGGTCGGACAAGAACGGGAAGCGACGATGTTGTCCATTGGGCTCGTATGGGTGATAGAGACGACAAGTTGGCGGAAGACGAGGATGACAGCTCGGATGGCGGGGAGGGCAGCGATGGGAGCAGGAGGACAACAAGTAGGAAGACAAACACGAGGAAGAGGAGGAAGAGGTGGAGAAGGACGAGTACGAGGAGGACCGAAGCGGAGGAGGAGGAGGAGGAGGAGGAGGAGGAGAAGGGGAAAATGACGACGACGACGACGACGACGACGACGACGGAGGAGGAGGATAGTAAGGAGCCTGAGGAAAAGCACGTCGAAGAAGGGAGGGGTCCTCGTGATCTTTTGGGGCTACCCTGGGGGCTGTCGGGGCCATCTTGGGCTAGCTTGGGGCAGCCTGGGAGCCTCTTGGGGGGCCATCGGGGTCCTCGTTGGGGGCTGCTGGGTCTTCTTGGGCTGTCTGGATGTGTCCTCAGGTTCTGTGGGAGCTTTCTCAGGCCATCTTGGCGCCATCTTGGGCTGCCTTTGGGCCGTTTGGAAAGCTTCCAGGGGCTCTCTCGGGGGCCTCTTGGGACCATCTACGGGTCCTCGGGGTGGCCTTTTTGAGGGCTCTTTTGGGCCACGGTGGACCCGTCCAAGAGCGATTCCAAAACGATGCTGATTCGGAGCCCCCTCCGAAACCAGCTGTCTGAAGATGTCTCGAGCGAAGCGGTCAGTTCCCAGGAACCTATCCGGACAAGAAAGGGAAGCGCCGCTTTTCTGAGCTTGCGTGCGCACGCGCGCTTGGGTTAGCACCCAACACGCATGTCTTAGGTCGGGCCTGTCCCCCTACAGGGGGATTTTGGACGAAAAGTAAAACAATACCCCAAAAATCCGCCGACCCTGTCGGCGTGTGAGGGGCTTCTCCGTTCGACTCGTCGTCTCCGTCGTCTCCGTTCTCCCCCTCCCAGGGCTCTCCTCCTCAAGCGCGCTATCCAAAGCGAAATTAAACGACGTCGCAGTGGAGTCGAAGGGAAGCCCCTTCCCTTTGATCCCTTCCCCGCAGGGGGGGGGGAGGGCGGGGGGGGAGGGGGGGAGGGGCCCGGGGAAGATACGACGCCCGCCGGGGCGCACTTTCCTCGAGCGGGCACGCACGGGATGCACTTCCTCCTCCTCCTCCTGGTCCTCCTCCTCCTCCTCCTCCTCCTTTTCCTCCTCCTCCTCCTCCTGCTCCTCTCCTCCTTCTCCTCCTCCTCCTCCTCCTCCTCCTCCTCCTCCTCCTCCTCCTCCTCCTCCTCCTCCTCCCGCAGAGGCGTCCCGGGAGCGGGCCCCGAGTCAAAATACCACCCCCCTAGGGCGCATTTTCCTCGAGCGGGCACGCCCGAGATGCACTTCTTCCTCTTCCGGGAGCACGTCCCAAGTCAGAATATCACACTCCCGGGGCGCACTTTCTTCGAGCGGGCACACAAAGGATGCACTTCCTCCTCCTCCTCCTCCCTCCTCTCCTCCTCCTCTCCTCCTCCTCCTCTCCTCCTCCTCCTCCTCCTCCTCCTCCCTCCTCCTCCTCCTCCTCCTCCTCCTCCTCCTCCTCCTCCCTCCTCTCCTCCTCCTCCTCCTCCTCCTCCTCCTCCTCCTCCTCCTCCTCCTCCTCCTCCTCCTCCTCCTCCTCCTCCTCCTCCTCCTCCTCCTCCGCTTCCTCCCCCCACTCCTAGCCCTTTCGATCAGGGTCGGCGGCACCGGCCGTCAGGCCTCTCCAGTACTCGAAAGATGCCCGAAAATACCCCAAAAAAAGTCCCCTGACTATTTTCTACTATTTTTGCATATTCACCCAGTAGAGGGACAGGCCCGACTTAACGCGCGCTTGGGTTGGCACCCAACAGGCGTATGCAAATGGGGTGCCGTCGCTGGGCTCCCCTAGATGTCCGGATGGCTGCTGTTGGCAGCTTGTGCTCGGGTGTTGCCGGCGGTTGTCTGGTCGGGTGCTGCACGAGCTCTGTGAACGTGTGTATACTCCCAAGAGGCCTCATGCTCCTCCTCCTCCTCCTCCTCCTCCTCCTCCTCCTCCTCCTCCTCCTCCTCCTCCTCCTCCTCCTCCTCTACCTCTCAATGTTTCCTCCTTCTCGACCGCTTCGTCTCGTGTGCAAGCTTGTGCATGTGTGCGTGCGCGTGTGCGCGTGTTCAGTACTTTCGGTGCTATAAGGGCTGGTGATGGGCCTGTCTTCCACCACCACCACCAGAAGTTGGAGGGGGAAGGAGGAGGAGGAGGAGGACGACGACGAAGAGGAGGAGGAGGAGGAGCAGGAGGAGGAGGAGGAGGGGACCCCCTCCCCCTCCAACTTATGGTGGTGGTGGTGGAAAACGGGCCAATCAGCTGGGGTGCCAGTCGCCGCACCAGTCCCTGGCAAGCCTGGCTCGCGGCGCTGCGGCGCCCACGAGCCGGCGCCCACGAGCCGCCGTGCCGGCGGCTGCGCCCCGCACGCTTGTGCGCGCGCGTGCCCGTGCGCCCGTGTGCGCGGCTGTGTGCGAGCGTGCGCGCGCGTCCGCGCGCCTGGGCAGGGCGAGTGCCGAGGAGGCGGGAGCAAGGGCTCCCAGCTTCGCGCTGCGCGCTGCGCGCTGCGCGAAGCGCGAAGCGCGAAGCGCGAAGCGCGAAGCGCGAAGCGCGCCGCCTCCCAGGGGAGGAGGAGGAGGAGGAGGAGGGGAGGAGGAGGAGGAGGAGAGGAGGAGGGAGGAGGGAGGAGGAGGAGGAGGGAGGAGGAATCGGAGCCGAACCGTGAGGCGCGAAGCGCGAATGACTTCGCGCGCCCTCGAGGGCGCCCTCGGGGAGGGGGGTGTTGTACGGCGTGCGTGCGGGGCGTGTACGGGGGGGCGAGCGGGGGGGGGGCCGGGTCGCCTGCTTGGAGGGGACGTGCTGGTCTGCCCTCGGCGCCGAGGCGAGGGGGCTTCGCAGCAGCCAGGTCGACACCGGCGCGGAAGCCAGGCGCAGCAGTGGGCGACGTCGCACGGGGCGATGCGGAGTGTGGATGGTGTTCCAGCAGGAGCTCACGAATGATCGAGGGCGAGCCACGGATCAGCGGTATCCACTATGCTTCCTGGAAGAAAGGGCATATTGAGCCCAACCGGCGAACGGCCGAGAACAGGGATGAGGAGAAGGAGGAGGAGCAGCAGCAGGAGCAGGAGGAGCAGGAGGAGGAGCCGGAGGAGGAACAGGAGGTGGAGGAGGAGCAGGAGGAGGAGGGACGAGGAGGACGAGGAGGAGAAGGAGGAGGAGGAAGAGGGACGAGAAGGAGGACGAGGAGGAGAAGGACAAGGAGGAGGAGGAGAAGGAGGGCGAGGAGGAGAAGGACGAGGAGGAGGAGCAGCAGCAGCAGGAGGAAGATGCCTCCCGCGCCTCGCAAACCTCCAGGCACCCTGGGGAACCACCGAAGAGACCGAAGAGGACAGCCGAAAGCGGCCGAGGGGCCCGCGGACAGGCCGCAGGAGGGCCATGAGGCCGCCAGGAGGGCGGGCGGCCTAGACAGGTACCGAGAGCCCTCTGGCGCGGAGCCCGTGACGCCCAGGGCGGATATCAGGCTGTCGATCAGGCCGCTCAGAGGATCGC